GGTTTTTTACTGTCATGAAATCATGCAGGTTTGGTGATACTGAGCTGTGACAGGCAGCTTAATGATAAACCAAATGCGGAAGAAATTATTCAAGATTTTAAAATATAACTATATAATATTTATTATATTATACTATACTAGATATACAATTCATGAGTGAGCAAAGTGATCTGTCAAGTCCAGAAAGTCCCACTCTGGTGAGTGGAAAGCCCAGGCCAATGTTGTCTGGTTTGTCCTGTGTGTTTTCTTGGAAATCTGCTCAGCACAGCTGTGGTAATAAAGAAGGGAATACTTCCCTGACCCTCATTGTTTTTCCTGCAGGCTTCTGCATACTGAATAAAAGAAATGGTGATTAATGTGGCCCTCCATGTCAAGGGTAGACTATAGATTACCATTAACTGCATCATTATGTTATCTTGAAAAGTTTACTAGGTTGCACCTGACAGATAATAGCTTTTTCTGCCAACACAACAGAGGAATAATAAACTAATTTATGGGATGAACTAAAATCCATCAGAAGAATTGTTATTTGTGACAAAGAAAGAGCTTTTGCTTTCTCGGTTGTGGAGGAATTCTCCGTAAAACTTCCTTACTTCCTTGGTGCTTTTCTCTCCAGCCCAGTGACCTGGTGCTGGTGCTGGAGGGGGGTGTGTGGCTGCAGGGCCTGCAGGGCTGTGCTTGGGAGCTGCTGCCCTGAGCATTGGTCAGTTTTACAACCTGAAGAGGTTGCTTCCTTGCTTCTGCTGCTGGGTTCATCTCTGCCACTTCCTCACAGGCTCCAAGTTGCGTAACAGCACAGGATCTGAGCCTGATGTTCTTTTTGTTGGTGGTCATTACATTTACCATTTCTACTCCCCCAGTGATGAAGAACAGATTATTAAGTAGGAGCAGACACCTCCCCAAACCTTCCCTGCTCAAAAGTCAGTGAGAGCCTTCAGCAACTGCTGCTTCTGCCATTAAAGCAGAGTGAACTAGCAGGTTATTTCTGAGGAATTTTCACTTTCTGGGGGTGTAGAAGGGATATTTTCTTCAGTGGGTCAGAGTCTTGTTTTACAACTTCATTAGAGAGACCTGACCATGCCTTAGAGGTGTCATGGCCAGGGACAGTCTATCCCTTGAGACCCAGGGTACAGGACTGAGAAAGTCTGGCTGGAATGAAAGAATTCACCTACTTGGAGTCTCTGCTGAAACAAACCTTTTAAAAAGGCTCCTGCTCATTTCTGTTGGTCAGTGTCTGCCTTTTCACCTCCTGCCTGCTTTCCTCTCCTTTTTTGTTCCTCTGAGCAACACATCACTCTAGATTAAGAGCAAATGGCATGATGTCAGCCCTCTCCATTTAAACATTTTGGTAAAATCCTTTGCTGATGTGGTTGGCACTATTAAAATGTGCAGTGATAAGCAACAATTTGTTGTTAATTTGTCTTTTGTACTCTGTTCTCATTTTAATGAAAAAAAAATAATAAATTCCAGCTGTTCTTGTAGTTCCTAAAACATCTTGACGTAACCATTATCCAGGGAAGACCTGAAGGTATTCAGTTGTCACCTTCTCATTTGTTTTAGGTAGATGACAAGCTGGATAGAGAGCCCAGATGTGCAGGAATGTGTGTATCTTTTCTGTAGGTAGTTTGGAGGAAGCCTGTTGTATTCTTTACATTTATATTAAGCAGTGATCACATGAAGTAAATCATAATTATTTAAGAATTCTGCCTAAACAAAGCTTTTGGTCAGTGCCCTGCTTTCAGAGAATATACATGCAATATTCTATACCTTGAGAGTTCAGTTTTCCTATGAAATAAGCAGCTTCTCTTCCTTCTGTCTTGTGAAATTTACTCTGCAGGTCATACATACAGTTGATGGACTGACAGCCCAAGGCTCCAGAGTATATAAGCAGTGACAAAAGTAAAAATCAGAAACTCCCCACACCTTCCTACTATGGGGTGTGCTGAGGGAATCAAGGTCAGTGGGTTTTAGGCTGATCTGTTCTCTGAACGCATGCTCAGATCATGCCCTGGTCATTTTTTTCAGTGATTCCACTCAACTGGGGACTCGGAGCTGCCTTGGCACCCACAGGGAATAATGTGAAGGGCTTGCAGGTAGTGTTAGTTTGTTGTTGTTAATGAGATGTAGAACTTTTCAGACACTTCACATGCTGTATTCCCTTGAACCATTCAGGTCTTGAGCCCTATTACAGAGTTAAAAATTAATGCTGAAAGTAGAAGCAGCTGCCTGGTGACTAACCCAGAGAGTAACTGCGCCTTCCACATTGAACCCTGATGTCTGCGTCATCTGGAGTGTTGAAATCTTGCAATTTAATAGCATGTTCAATAAATAACAGTTAAATAGGTTGAATGGCAGTTTTACAAATACTGTTTATTGTCACAGCAATCAACAGTGAGAATTCCAGTGCGATGTAAGAATATATCTGCTGGTTTTATCTGGTTGACTGAAGAAGAGCAAGGGCAAGTGATTTGACTCACAGCTCTCAGCAACCCGTGGGCACAGGCTGTGTTTGCCTTCCCTAGATTCACTGGCCAACTTGCAGAAATCCCCAGATCCACTAAGTCTCTGAGAACAGTGTCTCTGCTTCCCCAGCTCTCTGTGTTCCCATGTGCTTAACCGATAAAAATCACTGGACTTTGAATTGGGGGTAATTTAAACCAGGTGAATCTGGATTGCTCTCTCTTTAGCTATGCTTAATATTTTTGTACTTTGGCTGATTGTTATCACAAGAAACTTGTATGGTTAAGTATGCAAATGGTTTCCATAAATAAAGGGGTCTTTAACTTTTACCCATTACTTGATGGTATATAAAGTGGCATTTATAGGTGGGGCAATATTATGAGAGGCAGTGTCCTCCATCTTCAGAATGACTGGTCTTAAAAGAATTCTGAAAGTGGTAACTTGCATATAATTCTCTGCCATCTACTTTATTTCAACCAGTGTAAATTGCATATAGATAAGATCCTGGCATTTGAAAAGTAAAAAAAATATAAATTCAGCATTTGAATCCCATTTATTTCCTTCATTTTACCTGTAGCTTCCTACTTCACCTATCTCAGGAGACAAATATGACATTCTTTTTTTATGAAAATGTTTCTCATCATAGTAAAATATGTTTAACCTGCTGTATCTGCAGTTACATTGGAAAGAAGTTGAACTACATCTTTAAACAATTCGACAGTCAAATGCACATTTAAAAATCTTGGCTCAGGAAACTAGCAGCAAACTAATAAATAAATAGTTGATAAGTGTGTGAAAAATATGAATTCTAGATTTTTCTATTGCCTACAAAAGATTAAAAAAGAAATATTTTTTTTTTAAATTATTCTCCTTCTTAACCAACATCTTTTAAAACTGCTGTGCCATTAAAAAATGCAGGAATTCATGGGACATTATAACAGCTTTCGTGGTTTGTCCTTATTCCTCCAAGGTTTAGCAACTTCCCCCAGTGGTTAGTACATCACTCCAAGCAACTAATCCTGTATCTATAAACTGTAATGTCAAAGGATTAATGTGTGCCTGGGAACGCAGGTCAAATCTGCTTTAGATCACAACAGTTTGAGTTCAGCTCCTAGCTGAAATATCACAAAACTACCATATAATTTAGTACAAGTCTTGCATTCCTGTACTTCAGCTGCTGGTTGCCTTTAATAAAAAGAGGCCCAGGATTGATTTCCCTGAGAATGGCTTTTTCTTTGTCTAAGACCAAAGTAGTATCAGCTGGAAAGTAGAAGCATTTCTTAAAATAGCTCTGTGTTATAAATAGCATAAATAGTCTGCTTTTGAAATATCATGGAAAATACAGTATTGTAAATTACTGATATTTCCTGAATTTCTTCTGTTTGATGTGTTACAGTGCCCAGATTCTCTGAGCATCTCATGTTGGCATGTCCTGCCTTCCCCTGCAGAGCTGCGGAGACTAGTGGTGCTGCACACAGATGCAGTGTGCACCTTAGCTGAGCTTCATGTGACACTAAAAACAATTATTTTAAAATACTTTTCACAAAATAAGTAATTTAATTTGTGCAATATGTAAAGTATGCACAATAAGCAGACACAAATATTACTACATCTGTTTTGTCTAGGTTGAGACACCAGCAAAGCACAGCAATTTATACCTTATTGTCTGCAAATGTCATATCCAGAATCTCTCTCTATTTTTGACACTTCTGTGAGGTGCTGTGGTTGAGTGGCTTGGAGGGTTTTTCATATATGAACTCCTGTAATACATTTTTACTTTCAGGAAAAAGTGGTTGTAACCCTTTTAGAATATTTGTGTGTTCTTAACATTGAAATATAATTGAGAGTACATCAGTTAATTCACTCTTGCTTAGTCTCGGTTAGTTTTAAGAACTAACTTAATTCTATTGTAAGGCTACAGTGTATTCTATTATCATGACACTAAATAATTACCAGCTTTAGAATATGTCTCTTTCATGATAACATATAAAAAGCAATATTGTGTACCACTGTAACAGGTCTTAGTGAAGAGGCTGTGTGCTTAGGTTCTTTTTCATACCAAGTTTACCTATGGTGAACTGCAAACTGAAAACCCTGTGTGTTGTCAAACTGTAAAGGCACCACCACAGTGACTGACAAATTGTAATTAGGTTGATTGGTGTACTTAGAGAAAATAGTTTACCAGGTGAAATAAAAAGCAGTGTACTTCTGCTGACATAAAAAACCTGCCTGGACTGCAATGATGGTTCCTGCCTGCTGCCCTTGGTGGGGTCACTTGCCTCTTGGGGCTCAGCTCCCACCCCGGGACACTTGCCTCAAAACTGATGGAATTGAGCATTTCATAACCACGTTCTTACTTGCTTTTAAAAAACCTAACCTGAGCACAAGACAAAGCCTGCCTACAGGTCTAAGGTGCAACACACCTGGAAACCCAGCTTCATTTCAAGTGGAGACTCATTTGAAAATTCGGTCTCCTAGGCTGGGATGTCTGGCTGTGCTGCAGGACTTGGCTGACAGTGGCTTTTCTCATGGTCTGACAGGTTCTTCGCTCTGTGCTGCTGTTTCCAACCATAGAACGGTTGGCTCAGTCCCCTCAAGGGAAGCTGATGACTCCTTTGCTGTGCAAACTTCGTTACATCCTGTACATGCCTGTCTACCTGCTGTCCTTCCTACCAGAGGGAGTCAAAGCCTCCCTGGTGCGCTTCGCTCTGCGAGGGATGAAGACCTGTGATGAATCTTCCATAACAACCTCCATCAACCTCTTCAGTGTGGACTGCATTGGTGAGCCTGGCTTTGTTTTTTTTTTGCTTCTTCTTTTTGCTGCACCAACTTCTGTGTGGTTCTCATTTGGTAAACGCTGATGTGGTTTTGTGGGCAAATGTTTCATAGCAAAGCACGAACAGGTCTGAGCTTTTCTCAAATTAAGACCATGGGTACAGGAAAATCTCAAATGAGTTGATTTTGAACAAAAATTCTTAAGGGGAAAAGGACAAGTAAAGTATTTCCCCAAAGAAGATGTATTTCTTAATAAAACTGCCTTATGCTATTAACAGTATCTCACATAATTAAAACAGTGTTTTACAATCTAGTTTACATTAATTATGTCTGCTTATTTTTTGTATTTCATTCATATTGGATGGTGCAAATAAATCAGTAATCAGCTTCACAAAGGGTTATTTGCATCTGTTTTTGAAAGCTGTAATTTAACCAGCTCTGTAGTTGTTGTCATCTGAACTGAAATATTGGTTAAATCAGAGAAGGGCCTTCAGCCTACAAAGACATATAAAGGTTACTTTATGCACAGAAGAATTTCAGCACTTTTTGTGTACACAGAGAAAGGCAGAAGATTAATGTTCCTCCCGTGCATATTGTACACATATTTTGCACACTCTAGCAAGAGGAACAACCTTCAGAAAGGGAATAATTTCAGATCAATTATGTTAAGTTTAAAATGAAAACCAGAACATGGACTGTGCTATACTCCAGGTATTTTGGTAAGTTAGCAGTTGAAAACAATTTGGAATAGAATAGACGTGCTAACGCAGTAATAACAGCAAGAAGGAAGTTTTGATTGCATTAATAGTAGTAAAAACACATTCCTACATTTCCAGTTGTGCTCTGCCTTCTATCAGTTGAATTCTACCTACTAATCATCCAGACAGATGGGCCAGAGCCACTCAGTGGTTGCAGCGAGGTCCTGGACCTGTCATGGGTGTCAGTGGATGTATTGGTCTGTACAGGAGGCTGGCAGTGGGATAGTGCAGAGGCTGGAAGCAGAATGAGCAGGGAGGATTCTTGCTGCCCAACCTCAACAGCCCTGCATGTGATCTGCAAACCTGGCATCATGAGAGCCACCCCGCTGCAGTCCCCTGTGCCTGACAACATCAGGCTGCCAGTTGTTGATACAAAATTCTGATAGGATTCATATGGTCTGTGGCTTCAATTCCTGTTAATTGATGGCAGTTTCATGATGACTGAGGAGAAAGCAAGTATGCAGTCATATGTACACTAGGCTTTCAGGCTTCTTCCTTTGATAATTTAATCTCTGAGAAAGGTATGTGAAGGTCTGTGGGGTCACATCTCCACAAGCCAGGAATCCTTCTCTGGTCCCCACAGATAAACTTTTACCTCTCAAAACAGGTTATCCACATCGAGGGTTGTATTGGAAATGGTCCTTGTCCTGCATTAACCTCCAAAAAAAAATGTGGCCAGCCATTGTTTGTGAGTGCTGTTTGGCCCAGATCACAGCAGTGGCAGGAATAATTTTAACATAACAGAATTTGTGTGCTGCTGTTGGAGTCTGACTCTCCAAGCTCCTTAGTTCCCAGGTGAATGACCCCTGTTGGTGTGTGTGTGTCAGCCTGTTGCAATTTTCTGGGTGCACCAGTGTCTGATCTGTGTCCAAGCTGTAAGGTAAACTGAGGCAAGAAACCAGGCTGAAGGCTCTTGTGAGATGTGGTCTCTGCCTATGTTCAGTTCATTGACTGAATTAATTATACCAGAATTAAAACCCTGTGTGCCAATGTCTCGTAAAACTCACATAAATAGGCCTTGTTGATGCAACTAGTTCCTTTGGGCTTGTGATAACATCTCTCTTGAGCAGAATGCCTCTTTGGTTTCATCTTTGGAAACTGAGGGTTTTTTACAGCCCAAATGACTCAAGACCACGTGGGTGGACTAATAATCTTAGGGCTTTCTGGATGTGGCCTGTTAACCTTCTCATGTATTGTTTGTGGACAAGAGAAGATCCTACATTCAGCA